TTTAATTAATGAACTCAACTATTTGAAAGCGAGCAATGGCAACACTGTACGGAATAAAACATTTTTACCGCCAGTATGCGAGACAGTATACAGGAAATTCTAAAGATATAGTATTTTTAACTATTTTGCGATTTTGCTGTTAAATTGAATTTTACGAGGCGTAAGGGCCAAGAACATGGTACATAATAAATCAAATTAGCTCACAAAACGTTAATAACAAAACAACACAAAAAATGTTTTGCAAGCCATCTTACTAAGAAAACTGAACATTGATATGATGAACGGAGGAAAAACTGAAAAAAAATAATATATATATATATATATAGAAAAATTATGGCAACATTTAACATTGCATCGGATATTCAAAACATGCTGCTTTTACAATTTTTGTACTTTTGCTGTTGAATTATGATTTAAAGTCTTCAAACTTGAGATTCATTTCTCGGCATAATTTATAAAATGTTTTTGAGTAATAGGTCATTTTTTTAATATTTTTCAGAATCTTTTTAAGTTAAAGCAATTATACAAGAAAGAATATTATTTCAAAAGTTAATTAATTAAATACTAAACATGGAGCTCATGATTCTATCCAGAAAACTAAAAGCATAGCATTCAGTACCGCCACAGTGTGATTTAGGTCTTTCAAATCTTTAATTACGCGAATACTTTACGTAAGAGCAATTGCAGCCAAATAAAAGGACTTTACTTCATATTAAGTTTTTTAAAGAAGCAAAACTTGAAATCTGAGTTTAAAATTTAAGAATACAGTTCTTTATTATCCCTTAGGAAAACTGAAACTACCGTTCCAGGCCATTTCCCATTCCGTCCGTTTCGTTCCCTTTTCGTCCATTAAAGCACAAACAGGTGTGAAGATTTCAAATGACATCCTTTTTACATCCTAACAAAGAAGCATTCATCAGCTTTTAGGACAAGCTGTGGGCAATAAACTGATACAATGCATTCAAAGAAACTGCACCTGCTACTGCATACATTAGGGGGAGGGAAGAAAACAACATCGCAATCTCGGCTGTTTCGGGTGGTTGGGATCGTTTGAATGAAAGGCTGTCTCGGGCCTTTCATTCATTTCATATTCATTGTTAAAAAATATATATGAAATTTTAAAAGGCACAAATGAAATTTAGTAAATGAAGTACGTGATAAAACTCTTGAATCTTCAGGTTCAATTAGGCAATAAAATTTGCAAAAAGCATTTGGATAAGAGTTGTTTTTTTTTCTTTACCATTGTGCAAAGTTACCGTCATTTTGCATACACAGTTACTTTATGCTTTAAATCAGAGATTCTCAACCGGTGGTAAGCGTATCACTGGTGGTACGCAAGAGAAAAATAGTGATACGCAAAGGAACAAAGTATTTTTAACTATTAAATTCAAAAATCTCGTGAAGAAAAAGAACAATTGATAGAAATTTTCTGTGATCGATTGAAGATTTCAAAAATAGCACACTTGTTAACTTTTGGTTGAACCTAAAAAAAGAATTTAAAGGCATTTCAAACATAACTATTAAATTTTTATTGTCTTCTTGCACAACCTATTTGTGTGAACAAGGACATTCTTCCATGTTATATTTGAAAAATAAATACCAAACAAAATTTAAAGTGGATCCTAATTTAAGGTTAAAACTAACTGAAATAAGAGCAGACATAAAGAAACCGATCTCTCTTAAACAGGCCCAAATTTCACACTAAATTTTAGAATTAAAAGTATTGTAACTTACATTTTGCTAACTAAAATGGCTACCAATTTTTAATCTAATGTTTTTTATGTGTGCATATTTTATACATATATCTAATAGGTTGTGCAAATGTCAAAATGTTTTTTTAATACTTCTACTGAGAAATTGAAAAATAATCATTGCAAAGTGTAGTGGTGGTACTAAAGTTTTTCACTTTTTGTTCAGATGGTACGTGTTGGCCAAAAGGTTGAGAACCGCTGCTTTCAACCTTTGCTTCCCCTTCTTTTTCCGTTTCCCTACCGAAATGCAAGTTTAGTTTAATAATATTAAAGTCGATGTGTTTTTATTGTAAGACAGAGCTTTTTTATGTCTCTCGAGGCCACGTTACAAGGTTTCTCCATCTCAGATAAGATTATATTCACTCGGCTTTGCGCTAGTGCAGCGGATATTAAACTGCCATGCGGGTTAAAGTTCTGAGCCAACTTAGTTAGATTAAATTGTGTAGTCTTTTGACTACTAGGCTGAATTTCAATTTTTGAATTTGACTGCTTCCTTTAAGTTACATCGTCCCGAGTGGTGGCTGAATCCTGTCAAGCACGAGAAGTACGTTTATGCTCAAGTTCTGATTTAATAGAAAGAATTGTTTTTAAACGTTCTTATGACAGCTCTTTTCAGACACCGCAAGAATTCGCTTTAAGTCTGTTGGGAGTTTGGAATTAGTTTGTACTACCAAAGAATACTAAACTGTGTATTTATCAAATTATTTTTTAATCAAATCAGGTGTAGAGGAACTAAAGGACTATTTCAAGATTAACACATGGAAGCACTAAAAGGTGAATGCTAAATCGTTTCCAGAAATATGAGCAAAATAATAATCATGTTTATGTTTAAAAGTTTGTAATACACTTGCAGGATGGCACCCAGTATAGCCACCTGGTGATTCCCCTGATCCATTTAGCATTAAAGTTGCAAAAACCGCAACTGCTGGTAGTCATTAAAGTTAACATTTCCGAAGTTTTGAGTTAAAATGTTAAATGATGTCTTTAAATTAAGATCCAAAACATTCGAAAGATGAAAAGTATTCGAATTTTCAAATCTTGATTCTTTTTAAATATTTGTGGGATTTACGTGCATTATTTTATGATACGCATAACATCTAAATTTTATAGCACATAACTATTACGTCTTGCGTTAAAATTTCAGATATTAAAAAAGAAAAATGGGAAAAATTATTTACCTTCAGTATTTGCATCCAATAACAGTGGATTCTCCCATTTAAAATATGTGATTAAGAAGACTAATATTTGCGACAGCATCTGTACATCGATGGTATCCGAAAGACTAGTTCCAAACAAGTAATTTGTCTTACTGAGGTGTGAACGTTGGTTTGAAGACAATAATATATGAACAATGAGAGCAGCGGAAAGAAGTGTCATTTATGCAAAGAATAAAACATTTTCTCCTAACCTGATCGATAAAATGTTACGGTGACAGACTCAAATCGTTGATTTTACTCGTCGAGAATTTACCAATGAGAAACGCCTTCCTAAAATTTTTGATTCCTAAGATATTCAAAAGGCTTAGTACGGTAATTGCTTTATTTTTCTAGTTAGAATTTACTTAAGCGTATGAAAATGAATCTACAACGGAAAATTCTAATTTTGCATAATATGTTTTTTTAATTATAGTGGCGACATTTGTAAAATTTAGAACAGATTTATTTGGCATGCCAAATTAATTTTGTTTGCGAAATAAGTAGCACAGAACATTGAAACCCATTATTTATATTTAATATAAGAATATTAATTTTTATATTCTTCCAGTGGTCTTTTTGTGGAGTAGGACCAAAAGTAAACTTTCAGTTTTGTGAACCGAAAAATCTGCCTTCTTGACCGATGGCCGAATTGCTTGTTTTTGCGTAGAAAGTCTAATTTTAATTGCAAAAATCGTTTTTTTTTAAACTGTTTTAACTGTGTTCGGTGTTTTATGTTTTTCTGTATTTTACAATTTTCAATGAAGATATTTTTAATTTTTATGCATTTTTGCTTTGCCGCTAAGTGCGAACTGAATTGATTGAATGAGAAATTGAATGAGAATGATCTGAAATGAAATTCGAGAAAATAAGTTTAAATGAAATGCAGTAAAAAATGTGTATAATTCAATAGGCCAAACAAGGAACTCATGTAGTGACCACATCAAATATTTTAATTTAAAAATTAACTAGCGGGCTGCGTCCAAAACAAAATTTATAAGTTCTATGTACACCAGAAAAAAAACGCATAAAAACATTTCAATTTGAATGAAATAAGTTCATTCTTTGCAATCAACAATCAATTCCTAAATAATTTTTTGTTGCCAAACCGAAAAACAAAAACATTTGATACTTCAGGTTAATACGTACGTACGATGACATGATTTAAATTTAACGTAGTGTTAACAACTTTTTCTCTATGTCAGTAAAAAAGAATTAACTTGGCACTAACATATCCTGTCAATTATTCTGACCTGACACAAAAAGTTGCCAACAACAGCTATTTATTTAAAATTAAAAAACATTTTCGACATACAAAAACGTCACATGCAATCGCGTGCTTTCTTCAACGTCAGAATATGACGTTATATAATAAGAACAAATTTAATTTCTGACAATGCTATTTTTATTCCACATTTTGCAAAATTTACAAATTTTTTATTGATAAACTCTAATATTTGAAAGCGAGCAGTGGCAATACTTTTCGAAATAAAGCACTTTTGTGTCCAGCGACTCCCGAGACTGTTGCCACTCAGAAAAAATGAGTGCGAAAATTAAGGTTTTAAGAGTTTTTAATAAATGTCTCGGCTTATTAAAGTAGTACGAAGATGAGAATGATAGACATAGCTTTCCGCGAGTTTTTGGAATCTGGGGAGTACATCTCTGGAAACTCAACTCTCTGCCGTTCCAAAGGAAATGATGCTACAAACAAACAGACAGACGAGCATAAGTTTTAATAGTATAGATTACGCTTATTAAAATTTTAATAATATAGATTATGCTTATTAAAAAGAATAAAAACGTGTCCACATTTTCATTTCTTATTGTTTAATTACTCACTCTTATGTTTTAGTTCCAGTAAACTTCAGTGTTCTATTTTTAAGAATGCTTGCAACAAAGACTTTTATATTCTGTTTAGCAATCTCAGCGCGAGAGAAAAATGTTCATTGTTTAATCGCTTTTCAACTAAAGTTCTTCTAATATGTTACATTCAGTTAGCGTCACTTTGGTATAACTTTTAGACACACATAAAATTCCTGCAAAATTGTTTCTGAAAATGAGGTAAGCTAAAAAACTACTCGCCCTATATTTTTTTTTTCATTTAATTTTCTTATATACTTTACTAATAAGTTTTTATATAATGTACACTTTATTTGTGGCTAAAAATTGAATATGTTAATTTTCTATTCACTTTTCCCAAAATAAATCCGCATTTTACATTCTAAAATTTAAATAATATTATATGTAGTTGATATTGTAAGTTTCATTTTCATGGTTGTGTAAATATTAACTTAAAGTAAATCTTCTAGAAAAACTTTACGTATTTTCAGAATCACAGAACCTATTAACTATATATACATTTTAAACTATATCGATTTAAGAGAACTAGCATTACACTCGCGGTTTTTGATGGATTTATTTTAATAATATTTTTTGGTAATCTCTTTTAATATTGAAACAAGTAATTTCTTTGTCTTTTATCTCGTAGAAAATGTAAGTGTTCGTTATACAGTATACTGCATATTTCTTTCAGATATGCCAAGCTTTCGTGTAGATCACATTTATCTTTTAAGATAAAATTTCTATATGTAGATTATGATTGTGAACGGTTCAGTTATATTGCACACGTAGTATTAAAGAGCAGGAATTTTCTCGTGTAACGGAGCTCACGTCAAAGCTGAGAATACATTCCTGAAAGCCATGGGAATTGCTACTAAAATCTTTGTAAGCAAAAGCAATTTCTCTCACTGGAATTTGTGTAGAATGGCGCAATCCGTTGCTGAATGACAGAGCATTGCTTATTCAAATTTTTGCAGCTCTTTTTGCACAAGTTTCTAAAACAAAAATGAATGAAAATCATTTTTGAATCTCAGAGCGAAAAAGATAAATATAATTCTTAAATAAAACAGATAAAAATTTAATTAATGTAAATTTGCTGTACATGTACACCTTGCAACCAAAAAAAAAAAAAAAAAAAAAAAAGGAATACATTTCTATATCTCCCGTTTTCCCGTTTTACTTGGCCGATTGACTAAATTAACTTGCGCTTCTCGTGTATCGAAAGTACAACTTAGGATATATATTGCATTGTTCTAACACAGGCATTTTAATGCAAAATCCTGCTTTTTTCTGAAATGACATACCGATTTTTTTTTTTTTTTTTTTTTTTTTTTTTTTTTTTTTGATATTTCGATTTGGCAACTCAAATTATGCCAAAATGACAAGTTTTGTAAAAATAGCACGAGTAGGTTTTTAAAAAATTAACTTTCAAAATTTTACCTTTTCAGTGTTAATTGAATTTTGTATATATCTACTAGTACATCTTTTATTTAATTACTAAATTTACTTGATTCCTTCTTACACAATTCGAAATTTAAGTTCAATAAAAATAAAATTCGCTACTATTTTCTGATTTATTTTTAAAATTTGTATCTTTTAGTAATCTTTATTATTTTTGAAAAAACTTTTGAATTTTGAATTTGAAATTCTTGAAATTTATAAATTTGCGTATAAAATTATTGCCGTCATCTTCAAGTAGATACATTTATAAGCCTGGCTGCAAAAATTAGAGCTTTTTATTCAAAATTTCTTAAGATATACCTGAATTTACATGTTGTCGCGTTTTGAAATTTGGCATATTTGTTACAAGTAGTAATAATGCTAAATGTGGTTTACGTACTTTGTTAAAATTATTTGAAAGAACGAATGATGCGCCTTTTTTTCCGTCGTACACAGTGAAAAAGAAAACAGAGTAGGTTACCATAAATTAAGAATTTAGCTAATTGAATTATTCTTGGCGCAAACTTAAAAATTACGCCAAGATAATTTGTTTTAATTTCTGGGTAAATTTCATACCAAATTTTATAAAATTTAATATTTAGGTATAATATGTGTCGTAGACTCAAAATATGGAAAACAAATCGGTATGTTATTTCAGAAAAAGTCCGATTCGTGTCAAAATACCTAAGTTGGATAAATGTTATACATAAATCTAATATATAACTAAATCACTATTTCAAGACGTGAAAAGGGGCAAGTTGAATTTAGTCAATTGGCCCAGTAAAACGGAGATGTAGAAACTGACCTTTCACTGCTTTTAAGTCACTGTCTGCTAGATTTTGAAAATGAGAATTAAGAAACGGAGAATATGAGTCATGTTTCCAGAAGTTTTTCAGTGTTAAATCTGTATCAAAAGTCACCTCAAAAAGCCTTTGAATTTTATCTTGCTTGATCGTATGTTCATTACTTGACACACCATTTATCACCCGAGACATTTTCGTTCCGGAAGTTGTTTCGTGAAGTGGTTTGTTCGTGATGGAATGCGTTTGTATTTTTTTCATACTCAAACCCAATGCTGTTCACGTAAACTGTATCAAATGATACAAATCCTAGCATAGTCTTTCATAATATTATAAGCCTTCTTTTGTCAAACGGCAAATATTAAAAGGGTAATGAAAGCAGTATTTAAATTGTGTCGTTTTCTTTTCATTTTAGTGTCATAGTTATGGATAATGGCACAGGGTTTTGTAAAGCTGGTTTTGCTGGAGATTCATCTCCACAAGTTGAGTTCCCATCGGTCGTAGGCAGACCAAGATATATAGTAAGTAAATAAAATAACAATAAAAAAAAAGAATGCCATGAAATTCATTCTGATTCTTAAATGCCTGATCATAACATAATGCTAGAACGTTAAAATGAAGAAAGTTATCTTACTTTCATGTGCAATGTGTGAACTAGGAAGAGTTTCAAATGTAAATAAATAACCAACACTTTTTAGACCTAGTTTATTATCGATAATTCTACAGCTACTGCATGCAGATTAATTAAAGGCATAGAAACCTTGACCGGAACAAAAGAACAAAGTAATTCAGTCACTTTTAAAGCAAAAAATGCAAAAAATTATCAACATATAAGAATAAAAAACAGAGCTCACCGAGTGGGGTAAAAGGGTTAGTATATATATATGATAAAAAAGAGAAAAAGAAATAGAAATATTGTTACGCGCAGAACGTAGATCCATATTGAAGAGGAAGAATGCTGATTGCGTAGAATACTGAAATGCCGATCTGCAATGAATAAGAAATTTGCCAGTTGAGGCAGTTTTTAATTCCAGTTTTATTTAAATTCATATTTATAGCCACAGTTCACTTAGCACGCTAAACGTGCCTATTTACAGAACATTTATATTTTTGAATACTATTGCGATAGGAAAACAGCGGAACGAAATTGCTCCCAAGCAGCAACAGAAATACTAGCGAAGTAAGCATTTATCCAATATGGCAGCTCACCAAAGAGGAAGGTTTTGGTTTATAAAGTTTTCAGTTTTCAAAAGTTTAGGTTCCGAAATGACTACATCATCAGCGTTAAGCAATTTGTGACATAGATTAATCTAGAGATGATGCAGTCCAGAAGTGTTATTATTATTATTATTAGAACAAAAAGGAAATAACCAAATTAAAAATGAGGAATTAAGAAGCTATTAATAAATTAAATTATAAAGCTGATTTAAATATTTGTTTTATCTTACATATGTTCCCTTCAAAGAGGAAAAGGCTTGGCGAGAAAAAATTCTTTTGAGAAGAAAGCATGAGCAAAGCAAGAGAACGTTTTTACAATATTTACAGTGTATAAGTTATTAATTACATTGTTTAATTACATTATTTACAGTGTGTAAGTCATCAAGGACATAGCCTGTAAGTTTCACTATGCCCCATCATTATTCATGAGTTCTCTTATATGTAAATTAGGAAATGCTTAAAAATCTAATTTAAAACTATTACATCAAAATATAATTTCTAAATAAAAGTAAATGGCAATAAATTGGCAAATACATAATTTTGAAAACTCTTAAGCTCTGTTTTCAAAACAGCCGAAAAATGTCTAGTGAAAGGTTTTTCAAAGTTTTTGACGAAATAGTTCTACAGAGTTCTTGACTGTTGCGAAAATTTGATATTATATAACACACACAGTTTGTGCGTAATTGAATAAATTCTTCTGATTGCAAATGGAATGCAATAACATAATAATATAATAGAATAACTTTGAGGATTAATTAACTTGACCTCTCCAAACAAAATCAGTGTACCAACTTGCTGATGGTGGGGGATGCTTAAGTACAAAAAATAAAAAAAAACCTCCATTCCTTGAAAAAGGTAACTAGTTTTTAGCATTGTAAAATTATCAAAGTTTGCTCAAATCTTTCATATTAATTAATTCATTAATTAAAATACAAAAATTATACAAAGTTAAGATTGAAGTTTAAGACAAATAACAAGACAAGTTTAAGACAAATAAAAGTCTTTTAAACTGTCAGACTGGAAAAAGTCAAAAATCAGGAAAATAAATTGTCATAATTAGGTTTTAAAATCTTCATCAGTTTACAAGTCATAATAGGGTAAGAAATTTTGATGCATAACTTGGAAAACTAAAATTAATTAATTTTGTACTGAAAAGGGATTCTACTATTTCTAACAGTTAATTGAAATTCACTAGCTGGGTTGAAAGGCCTGAGTCTGGTTGAGTAGACAATAGATTTCTTTTTAGTAACTTCAGAATATTGTTTTAAAATTTTGGAAGGACCTGAAAAAGGAGGAGAATGTTTACGGGTATTAGAATATTGAAATTCTAATCACCTATTTTAAAATTGCTGGGTTTATAATGGGTGTCATATCTTTCTTTATTTATACATCAGGATAATCATCAGACGTTTTTTTAGCAATTTTTCTAGCTTCTTCCTTTGGTGGGTGCATTTTATGGTTTTCAATCAGAGAATCATAATTTACCATACATTAAATAAAAAGGTGGCAATTTTGTTACAGAATGTGGTGTATTATTATATTCTTCGGTGACTTGAGGTAATAATTTAGTTCATGCAATATTGACTTGACAAGAATTTAATTTACATTTTAATCTAGATATAATAGTTTTATTTACTCTTTCGACTTTTATCATTAGTTTAGGTCTATTAGCAATAGTTAATAATTATTTCACATTATTGTTTTTCAGAAAATTTTTGAATTTTGAAGAAGTAAAAGCGGCATTTCTCTCATTTAAAATTTTCTTTTTTACCTGAATTTGAAAAATTTGTTTTAAACAATTTATATAAGTATCAGTAGCTACACTTTAGAGGTAAATGTCCATATATAACGAGTTGCATGATCATTAATTATGGGAATATAATCTTTAGTAGAATTATAATAGTTTAACCACCAGCAGTATCAATAGATAATAGTTCAAAAGATTCACTAACAGATGGAAATGCTTGCATGAAATCAAATCGCTTTTGTTTCTTTTTCTTATTAAATTGACAGACTTCACAATGTTCACAATAGTTGATATCTTGAATAATTCCTGCCCAATAATATTGAGCAGAAAGTAAATTTTGCATCGGGGACACACCAATATGACCAAATTCAGTATGAGCTATTTGAAGTATATTAGTACGAAGAGATATTCGTATTATAATTTCATATAATCCTTGTTTCTTAATAGCTAACACGTCATTAATTTTCTTATACTTAGGATTACATACATTATCTAAATTTTGATGCTCTTTAATTTCTTCTAATGATAATAAATGGACTTGCAAACTCACATGTTGACAAATAGGATTTCTAGTTAACATATCAGCTTCAATACAGGTATAACCTTCCTTATACTGTATATCAAAATCATATATAGATGATTTTAATGACCATGTGAATAATTTGCCTGTAGGATATTTAATGTTCTTGAGCCGAACTAGAGCAGCATGATTAGTATGTACAGTAAAATAATTACCATGTAATAAGGTATCTCTCTCGCTTTCCTAGCGTGCCTTCGTGGTGTAGTGGTTCTGCACGCTGGGCCGGTATCCAGAGATCCGTGGTTCGATTCCTGGCGAAGGCGTTGCTAATTTTTCATCTTGCCTGCCTCCAAAAAAATACATAATGTCTCTACAATGTAAATAATAATAGAATCTATCTATGGCATCAGCAATGGATAAATACTCTAGTTCAGTAATTGTATAATTTTGCTCGTAAGACCTTAATTTTCTTGAATGGAAAGCAATTGGATGTAAATTACTACCTGGGTGCTCTTGTTTCAAAATTGCAAGAGCACTTTTAGATGCATCTACAGTAAATGACAAGGATATTTCGGATTAAATAAAGCTAAAATGGATCTAGAAATTAACGCATCTTTTAAATTTTGAAAAGCTATTTGACATTCAGTTGTCCATTTATAGAAAGTATTTTTTAAGTAAATTTATTAAAGGGGCTCTAATTTTTGGATAATTTTGAATAAATTTATGGTTTACATTAATACTTCCTATAAATCTTTGTAATTCTTTAACATTTTTGGGAGGTTATAATTTTTAAATAACTTCAATATTTGCATCAATAGACTGATATTTTCATGCTTGAACTTCATATCCAAGAAAATTTATCTTTTCTTTAGCAAATTTACACTTGGATTGTTTTCATTTTATATTCTCTTTTTCACGTATGCCCAAATAATATCTTAAGATGTTTTAGATGTTCATCAAAATTTGAGGAAAATACCATAATATCATCAAAATAATTTAAGGCAAATTGAAATCTGATATTTGTTTAAAATTTGTTTAGGGCTCTGGTAAATTCATATTAAAATTTAAGGGTTATTTTATGTTAAGTATAGAGTATGTTGAGGCAGTACTGGTTCTGAAGCAGAGGCCTGTCATTACCTCTGTACAGTTGCTCCTTTAACCCTCTCCATATATGACAATGTTGAAGGTTCTCATTTTATGACTGAATGTAATTGGAATTTGCGTTGATTCACTATTAACGACGAATCACTTTTTAAATTTCTGCCACCAAATTACTGTAATTCCATCTTTAAAGAAATTAAATAATGAAGAATCTGCATAAATGTATGTATGTTTCTCTCATAGTGATAAAACAACGGTACCTCATCATCTTTTGAATAACTTACGTCTCCACCCGAATATGGGCATCTGGAAGCAAAAATTTGGAATTTGTTTTATTATCTATTTTATATTTTGTAAATTTTTTATGAGTTTTTTTTATTAAGAAACTGAATTTCAAAGCGAGCAATGGCAACATTGTACGGAAAACAAATTTGTCTCCAGCGCGCGAGATTGTGTATTGGAAAATCTAAAGATGTACTGTTTTAAATATTTTATGATATTGCTGTTGAACTGAACTTCATTGTTTAAGTGAGAAGAACCTGATATTTAATAAATACAGGTAATACACAAAACGTTAAAAAACACTCCTTTGAATGTAATATAAAATGTGCAAACATTCAGATTTTTTTATACTTTTTTTTATTATGGAATGTATCAGTGCAGTTCCCAAAGGCCAGTTACCTTATGCAAGGAATGGAGGCTTTTTAAGTAACTGCCTTAGAACCCTGAGCCACCGGTGCAGAACAGACACACTGGCTACCTCAAGTGGATAGCCCTACTGATGGAAGTGTTTGCTTAGAAGTACTGTGGGAGGCCTTCCAGTTCGGTAAAATAAGGAGTTGCAAATGAAAAGATAACAAAAGTGAAACCATAATTTCTGCAGTATTGCGCCTCCGAATGATAATTGATCAATATGAAAATCGGTGTCCTATATTGTTATATATTTCAGTTATTATAAGTAATGTTTATATATAAGTTTTAGTGACACTCTGTGGTGACAAAACTTTTCCATGAAGAATTGTGATTATGTGAACTAACTCTAAAAGAAAAAGACTTTTGGACTGACATGCTAAAAAATTTAATAGGACTCTAAAAAATAAATTAATTTTTTTAATTGATATTTAAAAATTATACTTTACAATTATTTAATTAATTATATTGGTATACAAATATACAAAATTTTATAATTTGCATTTTTCTTCATTTACTACTGCTTTAAAGCTTTTTCTTTTATCGTTACGTCTTTTTCTCTTTGAAGGGGGTATGTAAGAAAAATATAAAAATATGTAAAAGATAATCTGTAATTTAAATTAGCAATGTAAATATTTCCCTGTATCCTGAAAATAGTAATCTCTCTTTGCCCTGCGTCCTTCCGAGATTAATCCATGCCGTATGATTGTTACGTAATTCTGATGATGTAAACGGAACGAAAACTCAAATAGCCAATAATAATTTTGCATCAGTATTAATTATCCAATCAAATTGCACTGAGAACAAAAACTAACTGAGTCAGAATTAAGATTTCACCCTGAACATAAAGCATTCGCTTGCTACGCTTAGGCCTAGCTGGACTACTGTCTGCTGTTTCCTTCTTACTGCAATGTTATCAAAAATGTAAATCTTTTGAAATAGGCGCAAATAATGTGCGAAGTTTTTTGTGGGCACCACAGGTTTGCTGAAATGAAATAAAAGATTTAATCTGCTCGGCTGCCAGTTTCTTATTCATTATCGATCAACATTTCTACGCCATCAAAATTCCTTCTCTTCATTACTTATAAATTTTTTCCTATTAAATATATATATATATATATATTGAAAAAGAAAATGTAAAGCTAACTGGTAATTAGACGTAAGACCTATATATATATATATACGTTTGCCGCGGCTGATTGTAGAAAAGAGGGGCGATGAACAACTAGATGTTATAGCTGTCCCATATACAAAACTTTAACGTTCTACGGCTAATCCTTTTTTAATTATGTGAGATATATACATACGTATGTGCAGACATCATGAGAAAATCTCTTTTTAATCCATTTTAAATCAGTTTTGTAATCCATTTTAGAAAAGAGAATCCTTTATTTTATCCGTGCGTACGTATGTAATACAAAAAAATCGTTCAAATGGATTCGGATTCCAAAGCGCTCAAAATGGATATTTTCTTTAAAATATGATATCCGAAATTTTTCGCGATTACATTACTTCCTTTACTAATATTAAAAAATAAATAAAATTAAATTAATTCATTTTTTGCCTCTTAAGAATTGTTGCCAAAAATTATCAATCTGTAGATAATAGTTATAAGCTGTGTATACCACTTTACAGCCTGTTGTTGCCGGTTTAGATTACCGCAGTTTCTACGTGGGAGGAGAAGCCCAAGCTAAAAGAGGCATTCTTGCACTCTCTTATCCCCTCCAACAAGGCATTATTCGAAACTGGGATGACCTAGAGGTCATCTGGGATCACACCTTTAGTCATCTTCTGGAAGTAGATCCTTCCGAGTATCCTGTCATAGTTTCAGAAGCTCCCAAGAACCCACTACGGAACAGAGAAAAAATGTTGGAAGTAAGGAAAATCTAAGCATGTATGTGATTATTCTATGATTTTTTATCATTATTCATCATTTTTTCCAAATTATTTGATTGATTTCCCTGCATTAAATAATACTCTGAGTCAAAGAATTAATGTTTCACTGTAATTTTCAAGACTTTATGTTATTTAATAACAAAAGGCTTTTAAGCAAACATACTGTTACTTGCGTACAGATTCGTAATGGATTACTGAATGTACACAGATAAGATGATAGCTCGACGAACTTTATTTTCCCAATAGAAACACTTCACACCTCTAGAACCTTTCACAAAAGCACTCGTATAGGTCTTCTCTGTATGACAGAGCACAATCAGTACTTTCCATTTGAAACTTCTGAGAACGTTAAACACAACTCAATGCAATGCGTATCCAACGAGCGTGGTTTTCAATATACCGAACTCAAATCTGTTCTAAAAACAACTGAGAACTGATGCTTTCTCCCGTCTTCCCCCAGCCGCCGAGGAATTTCCGTACTTTCGATTTCTCGAAATTGCTGGAATGCATATTCAGTTACAAATGCATATAGAGCCGGATACAGTTACAGTTACATTTAGGAATCAGATCAGTTACAGTTAAACAGGAATTGGGCCGAAGTGCGACCCAGTGTGGCAACTTTTGGCAATTTTTCGCCAAATTTGGCAGTAAAATTTAGTCGCAAAAACCAGCGCCAACTTGGCGCTATCTCTCTTGGCGAAATAGCCATTTACTTCAATGTTAAATGAAGTTGCCGCTGTAACCTTATTTTTCCGGCGAAGCCTCACTCTCTTGAGGTCTTCATGTTAAATTATACAAGAGATCCTATAATTTACATATAATTTTCCTAAATATGTTTACCATATATACAAAATTCGTAACTGTATTATATTTTTGAAAACAGAAATACCTTTGGCCTGACGATGAATAATTGGAAACTTATTCTCAATAACAATTATTTCGATTACTATAGATATTGTTCGAAACTTTCAACTGTCCAGGAGCTTTTATTGCGATTCAAGCTGTCTTGTCTTTGTACACTGGCGGCAGAACTACGGGCATAGTACTCGACTCTGGAGACGGTATCAGTCAAGCAGTCCCTGTCTACGAAGGTTACGCGATTCACCATGCCATCTGGAGAATTGAATACGCAGGCCGAACTCTCACGGACTACCTACGACAGCTACTGACGGAAAGGGGCTATTATTTTACGACATCAGGTAAAAAAGAACTTTTACAAGATGGATTGAGTTAGCTATTAAAATGAAATTAATAATGTCAAAATAATATTATTGCGTAGATTTAGATTGATTGATGACGAAACCGATTTATTAGTCAGTATTGCATAAAAGACAGTTCCAAAGACACGTTTACAGCGGTCGAAAAACTACGATAAACACGTTAAAACAATCAACTACACAGCTTTCAGGCTATAACTGCGAAGACAGCTTCAGGACAAAGTACTGAAGTACAGCTTCCGACTCGGTTGATCGCTCTCGAGCTAATCTTCGAACTCAAAGCACTACTTCTGGATTCTACATACTCAAGATACTTTTCACGATAAACTGCTACTTCGCGTAGAGGCAGGGTATTTATAGCTTTTAACCTGCGTTAGAGAACATTCTCGGGAAAGCCTGTAAGAATTCGTTCTAGAATGTTCTTGCTCTGGCTATAGCATATCACCGATTTCGTCGCCAAATGGGCGATTTCGCACCAAATCTGGCAACCTTGCCTTTCCCTGACATTTTATGGCGACCTTAAATCCGCTTTGCGGTGAAGCTATCTTACCGAAGTTGGGCATTTCGCAACAATATTAATGTCTAAATACTGTAAAAACACATTTAATTCATAGATTGATTGATTCTTAAGTTTCGAGCATGTGAATGACGTATCCGCTGAGATGTGAAGACAAAGGAAAGACGTTAATTTCACTGCGTTTTGGTCCTCGTTTCTTGCGAAGAAAGAATGATTTTCGTCTTTGAAAAACTACCAAGACGTTGGCAGAAAATCATAGATTTGAGTGATGATTACTACCCGCACTACAGGTACTATTTTCATGTTGTTGGTTTTTTTTTTTTTTTTTTTTTTTTTTTGTCCTAACAGCTTTATTTATAATGTTTTTGTTGGAAAACTTTCGTTACAACCAGATACGTACTATACGAATAAAATTATTAAGAAAATGATAGTTATTGAAATTTAGACAAAACTTTTGTGTCAAAATTAAGTCGAAACCAAAGTTTTAATACTATATATTAATATATTCTTTAAAGTTTGATACTTTTGATGTAGATAAGCAAAATACAGACGTGAACATGACAATTTTAAACGCAAATCCCAGTTAAATTTTTGGTGTCCGCTGAAAGCGGAGAAGATGACGGAAAAGTAGTAATAGAAAAGAAAACAAAAGAAACATCACAGACGTAAATAGTCACAATAATAAATACCTTAGTAAAAAATAAAGTAGCAGCAAAACTTTTAAAATTTTAATGCATCATTGTATACACTAAGTAAACATATCATTTAATTTTTTGAATAAGTGATGTTCCATTTCAGTAATTATTGCAAAGTAGTTTCAGTAACTATTTCTGTAAACAGAAATTTAAAAATAAATCTTTTTATTGTGAGGAAAGAATTACTTTTAAAAACAAAGCAATAGTTAAATTTTTAAAAATATCATGAGCAGTTTAAAAAAACTTTGGTTTCCCTTGATAAGTTTAACATCTTTTTCAACATGTTATAAACTGAAAAAAACCCAGACCGAAAATCACTGCTTTGAACAACAACTGCTCAATTTCTTTAATTTTATTTTATAATTCAAATAAGAATTTGAATCTTTTGTTTATTTACTTGCGATGTTCCACAAGAATTGTGCAACATTTCTATCTTTCCTTATTTGTTTGTGTAACATTTCTAACCGCTTTCAGCTGAACATGAGATCGTTCGAGATATAAAAGAATCTCTTTGCTTCGTAAGCCAGGACTTCGTAAACGACATGAGAGTTTGCTCCAGAAATCTTTCAGCCTTTAATCATGAGTACGTTCTACCAGATGGACAAGTTTTAACTGTGGGATCGGAAAGATTTCGCTGTCCAGAGTTACTTTTCCGTCCTTCTTATGTGAACTTAGAAGAACCTGGATTTCAGGTAAAAGTCACGATTTCGTGATATACCCCTTTGTCTTTTTTTTAATCTTAAAATCAAATACTATCATTGTTTTTACTTCTTATAAAATAGGAACATCACTGTTTATTTTACCAAGTATATAGCAAGTTTTTCTACTTATTTGGGTTAAATAGTTCTGGATTAAAGGGTGTTGGAAGCCAAAAATCTTCAAAAAATGGAGATTTGGGATTTTTTGCAATTTCAAATTCTCTAATTTTAGCTTTCTAAAAATACCATGTTTTAATCTCTATGAAAATTAGAACGGTCAAAAAAACTATTTCATTTATCATCGAATGCTTTGATAAATGAGGATTTTTACATAAAAATGCATTTTTCTCCAAATGTGATTTTTTATACTCGATGTACCTATTCTCAAGAACTATTGCTCACATTTATGTAAGTTTTTATAGATTATTTGTTGTATTTCCACATATTTACTCAAATGAGCTTTTTGTGGTAAGTTTTAAAAAAAATTAAAATTTTTTTTCTGAGAAAAGCGCTAAATTTTACTATGCCTAATACAATATTATATAAATTACTCTAAAATTTAAAATGCTTCAAAAGCTCATTTCAGCGTAATCAGACAAGTGTACTTTAATTACACCAAAAATTTCAAACGTGTATCTACAGCAGATGTTGAGAAAAGGTGTATCGAAAATGGACAATTTAACATTGTCGGTATAGGGAGTTCCGATTCCCCTTAAATAAGAGAATAAACAAGCGTAAGGAGAGCAGATTTGACAGGACAAACTTTTAGTGTACATTTTTGCTATGATAAAAAAATACAGTTAAAGCTTTGGTTTCAGTACAAACCTATAATATATATATATACTATGAATATTTTATTACGTGTATATATATATATATATATATATATAATTACAAAACAATTCTTTTGAAAACAAAATTTAAACATGCCTAGTAGTTTCGCGCATTATCATTAAAGACACAAAGTAAGAACTTTAGAACCAATTTTTCGCAAAGATCAAAATTTCAAATTCGTAATTAATAAATTTCATATAATCTTATAAATGCAGCAGTTTTAAACAGTTAAAACCAAAACTTTTCAAGCAAGCAAAATCCCATTTAAAAAAATCGATAAAATTTAAAGAAAAATGAACGAAAACAGAAGAGGAATTCAATCAACTTCAGTGCTACTTCTTCAGGGAGGAGAAACAGTGAAATCAACTGAAATTTCTTTTCTACAAAAATCTTTGCTTTTCTGTATCCAGAATTATCCGATGAAATATTTCAATGTATTTTACTTATAATAATTCATCCGAAAATTCTGGTCCTTCCCCAAAGCAAGTAAAAATATATATTCTAATTAGAATAATTAGAATAACTTGAAATAAAAATAATTCTATTTTATTAAAAGAATTGAAAACGAAAGTGAAAAAACAAAATACTTCAGTGAAAAATTAAATCCAAATATTTACCTTTCAACAGATAATCCAAAGACTAAACTGTGATATATACAATTCATAAAATATTAATCAAACGAATATATATACATGCGTTTGGATAACTTGTTGGATTTGGTTAATTTGATGACGACAAAGGATTCGAGGGCTAACTTCCGAAGGGAAGGGATGCCTTCTTGGAGGACGTTTTAAAGGAAACTGGCTCGTATACATGTTACACATGGGATAAATCACAAAACCGCTCTTGTAGACAACCCGTTTACCGGGAATCAAACCACGGACCAATTACTATTGCTCAGCGACTTTGTCGCTCTACCACTGGTGGAATGCTTTCTGTTAAAGCCATGTTTGCAGTGCTAATAAGTGACATATAAAAAGCACCTAATAAATAAAGATTAACTCTAAGACAATAGGACAGGACTTTGATTTTAAGGTATACATGCTAACAATTATACATTAAATTAGAATTCCAGTCATAGGATCTAACCTACTTTACTATCATACAAAGTGTCGAGATCTCAAAGTCTGGCTAGACAACTCACAACAGATAAAGAGTGTAAAAAGCCCTTTGTTAATTTACCACAATCCTTTAACAGAAAGGGACGGACTTCGTGTCACAAAAACACCGACTCCTTGCGGTGAGAATTCAAGATAAATTTAACAATAAATTCGAAAGATAAAGAAGTAGTGCTAGACTTCACAATTAAATTTAACGTACTACGAAGTGAAAAGATATATTGCTGTTTTTATGTAGAAGCTAACTTTTTGCTTAGGTTTCCTTGTTTTCAGCCAGTGTGAATCTGACTTTTAAAATTTTAGGAAGTCATTTATGACTCAATCATGAGGTGTGACGTCGATATCAGAAGATATATAATGCAAAATGTACTCCTTTCCGGTGGCAGCACAATGTTCCCTGGTATGGAGCAACGTTTGCACCACGAACTGAAACATATGTGTCCTTTTGACGTACACGTCTGTGCTCCAAAGGAAAGAAGGTATGCTGCTTGGGTCGGAGGCTCCATTCTAGGATCTTTGTCAACTTTCCGGGACATCTGCGTCACACGTTCTGAGTACAACGATTATGGACCTCGAATTGTGCACAGAAAATGCTTCTGATACATTGCAACAATCTTAGATCAATTTTAACAAATATTATATATTTCGAGGCAAAATAATTAAAATCAATTTTATGCTCCAGACTGTTGTTGATTAATTTTTTTCTCTAAAGCAAACCCATTATTAAAATCAGTTTTATTTCCACCTTTCTATATCATTCCAGTTTCTTCGATAAGAATACTCTTGTGATCAAACAGTTTTATATAGAAGCATTTGAGGAAATTAATAATATAACTCATTTAAAAATATTTTCTTTTAAATCTTCTTCTATTTTTCAACTCTTAAATAATTTTAATGTTCTTCTTGAATCGAAATAAATTAATCAAGACCAAAAGACATTCTGCATGTAAAGATATTAATTAAATAAATGCATTTAAAACTACAGTAGTGGCCAAAATTGTGGACACTTTTGGAAATTTTTATGTTTTTGAACTTTGTATGCTTATAGAAAACGTTACGTTTCACAAAATGCAAACTTGTATGTATCATTTTAAAGAGAATTTATTACTAAATCCAATACAAAACACAAAATTCAATTATTTGCAATACAAAAAAAAGTTAAACGATAATAGTTATCGATATACATTTGATAGTGATAATTGCAGTGAGTTATCAGTACTTAGTAGGGTACCCTTTATTTTTGATTACAGCTTCACATCGATGTTTCATTGAGCTGACAAGAGTTTTAAGCTCTTCTTTCGTTATTACATGATGCCAGGAAACAATTATAGCCTCAATTAGTTCCCTTTTATTTGAGGGGCGCCTCATTCGGACAAGAGTTTTCAAACAGTGCTACAAATTTTCGATAGGATTGAGGTCAGGACTACTTCCTGGCCATTTCTATAGGATTGAGGTCAGGACTGTTTCCTGGCCATGACAACAATTTAATGCTCTTTGTACGAAACCACTCTTTCGATATTTTGGCCGTGTGGCAAGGAGCAGAATCCTGCTGAAAAATAAACGAAGCATTGTCGGGAAAGAGATCTCTGATGGAAGGTAGAAGTTTTGGTTCTAGAATAGTGTCAATGTATTTTCTGGCATTCAGTGTCCCATCGATGACGTGAAGGCGACCAATACCATCTGCTGACATGCATGACCAAATCATAACAGTAACTGGGTTCTTGAATGCAGTCAGGATGTAGCTCTTCTCCTATTCTACGTCTTACATATTTTCGCCCATCACTACCGAATAACGACATCTTAGTTTCATCACTCCATATAACTTGTGACCACTGATCATCTGTCCAATTAATGAGTTCCTTTGCCCACTGTAGTCATTTTTTTTTTTTTTTTTTTTTTTTTTTTTTTTTTTCGTTGCTGAAACTTAAGATAAAGCTTTTTTCGTGGAATTCTACCTCTCAGTCCAACATCTGTTAATCTTCTCCTAGTTGTTCTTGAACTAACAGAAACACCAGTATCATTCAGATCACTTCTAATGGCCGCTGATGACATTTTTCTATCTTGGAGACATAGTCTTTTTATTCTTCTGTCATAAATAGATGTGGTGCACCTTTTTTGGCCTTTTCCTTCTTTGTTTTTTATTGAATTTGTCTCCTGATATCGTTATCAAAACTTTCGGACTCCAGATGTAGTCATTAAACCACCCACCTGTCTTGCAATTTCAGCATAGGAAAGACCACTTTCTCGTAACACAATAATATTACATCTCTTTCTAGGTGTCCAATCTACTCTTTTATTTGATGTCATTGCTTCTTGACTAAATATTAAAAATTCTTACAAAAATTCCTACTTGTAATTGCAGTGTATAAGAAACACGTCCTCCTTCTACAGAACAAAGCAAAATAATGAATTGTTTCAAGTGTAAACATGATGTCAGCTTCTACTGGCAGTTACTAACATTTGATTGGTTCTCAGAACAAGAACAGTGATTGGCCAGGAAAGCTAAACATTACAAACCATTTCATAACTGTGTTTTTTTATTTATATTAAAGTACATATAACTTTTTTGTATTGCAAATAATTAAATTTTGTGTCTTGTATTGAATTCAGTAATAAATTCTCTTTAAAATGATATATACAAGTTTGCATTTTGCGAAACGTAACATTTTCTATAAGCATACAAAGTTCAAAAACATAAAAATTTCCAAAAGTGTCCACAATTTTGGCCACCACTGTAATAACTTGCAAATAATGCTAAAAATACATGTCTCATAAAATATCTAATTATAAAATTAAATAATATTAAATTACTATAATTTATATTTTTGTTCACAAAAAGATAGATTAATTGTTAAATACATTTCATGTTAAATTTAAAACTAAGTTTAAACACTTCACGATACGTACAGATTTTTGCGGAAGGAATTTTAACTCAAATTTATTAATTTACACTGGTACAATGAATACATTATGTCTCAGAAGAATCACACGGCAACTTCATAACAAAAGAAAAGTGTCAATAGTCATTTGCTTAAATTAAACTTATTCGAAAAGTTTTAGATTAGATTTTGTTTCAGTAAGTCTCAATAGATGACAGCACGAGCAGATATAAAACTCAAAATTTCTGTATTTTTTATTTTCGTATGAAACATTCTGTTATTAAAATTAATGAACAAAAATTTCGCAGAAAGAACTAAAATAACAGCTTTATCTTCTTTCGAATAACCTTTTGTACAAATTAATATTCCTCTTTTCTTTTTCTAAATTATTATTTCTTTATTAATTATAATATTTCAAATTCTATTTTTAAATTAATATTTTATATTAATATATATATATATTATTATATTACTTTTCCTAAATAATTAAATTTATGAATTTTTAATGGTACAATGAATAAATTATGTCTTTGAAGAATCCCGCGGCAACTTCATAACAAAAGAAAAGTGTCAGTATTCATTTATTTAAATTAAACTTATTTGAAGGAATTAGATTAGAAGGTATTTCAATAAGTCTCAATAGATGGTAGCACGAGCAGATATAAAGCTTGAAATTTCTACACAATTTTATTTTAGTATAAAACATTGTTATTAATATTAATGAACAAAAAATTCGCGAAAATAACTAAAATAAAAGCTTTGTCGTCTTTTGAATAACCTTTTGTACAAATTAATACTCCTATTTCTTTTTAATTCTTACTTTTTTTATTAATTATAATTTTTATTTTTAAACGAATTTTTGATCAGAAGTTGTTTCTATATGTACCACTGGATGGCAGCACAAGCAGATATAAATTCACAAAAAAACTCGAAATTTATTTTTTAATCTGGTATGAAATTTGGTGTCTGTTATTAAAATTAATGAATAAAAATTATAACAAAAGAGTAAAATAAAAGCTTAGTCTTCTTTAGAATAATCTTTTGTATAAATTAATATTTCTCTTTTAGCTTTCTAAATTATCAGTTACTTTATTAATTATATTTTTTCCAAATTAATCTTCTTCTTTTGAACGAATTTTAGATCAGAATTTGTTTCAATGTGTACCACTAGATGGCAGCACCAGCAGATATAAATTCATGGAAAAACTCTAAATTAATTTTTTATTTTGGTATGAAATATAGTGTTATTAAAATTAATGAACAAAAACTTTTTGAAAAGAACTAAAGTAAAAGCACGTTTACGTAAAGCTATAAAATAACTTGTACCGGTGGATTAATATTTATAATTCCTTTATTGAACTGTTGCAAATTCCTTAATAGTTGAAAATTTTAAACAATATAAATATTACTCTATCAAGAATTTTTTACTTTACAGGCATGACACTATTACGAATTTTGTATTTAGTTATCTATTTTAAGTAGAAATATAATTAAAACTATTGTATTTCCCCGTGCAATGCAGCACGAGACAAATATTAAGAGAAAGCTATGCTGGAAAAGTAAAAATGCAGGAGCATATACATTGAACATTTAATAAATGAATATCGGTTTTATTTGTATTAAAATTGAATAAGTGATTGATTTGTTAGCTATAACCGTAATTCCATCCTCTTGTTGGTTTCCAGAAATGTCGAGAAGCAAAGAAATTACTAGAACTCTCTCGCGACCGATTAAAAGCTTTAAAAAGCCGGAGAGAGACATCTCAACTCAATTGTTTAGTTAGCTGCTGTTGTTATTGTTGATCCGATTAGCTTTCTCTGTGCTGTGTGTTTTATTGATTGTTTTTAGTAGTTTAAAAGTATAACTACTAATTATTACTACGTGATATTGTGAACACTTGTACAAATATATCTGAGAAAAAGTCCAGCGTTCTGTTATATTTTTTTAATAAGAATAAATTTTATTAAACTTTTATCGGACTGGTGCATTCAATCTATTACCCATACGCACGCAACAATATCGAAAGCTAACTTTCCTTTTTATAAAAACCTTTCTATTTATGCATGCTTATATAAAATTTTGCATAATTTTTTTTTTCGAAACATCGTAAATGGAATTGCAAGAAGTTCCATAAATTTTAAAACTTTCCAATATATATAATTTGGCTATATTAACTCGAGATTTCTAAAAAATCAATTAACTTAACGGAAATGCTACATTCAAAATGAATTCTTTATAGTACTCTACTTAATTTGGTTTTCTAAAATTCCAATAACTGAACGGAACTACAATTTTGGCCTTAACTAAATTTGCCAGTTTGGCATCATCATTCTTACTTGAGTAAAAGAAGAAACAACTTCGCATTTATTATTAATTATTATTCACTGAACAGGGGTTGGTTTGTACAGCTTGAAAAGTCAACTAATTTCCGATCAATGACGATAATTACTTGGTTCATTAATTTTCTTTTTTTAACATTTGAATTTCTATTTTTCATGATTTAAATTCAAGTAGCTTTAAAATTTTTTTCGAAATTAAATTTCATATTTCTGGGTTACTTCATTTAGATACAGTCTACTAAATTTATATTAGGAGATAATATAATCAATATTTCTTTAGTAAATAAATTATTATTATCTTACTTTGCAGCTATTGCGCAAGTGTTAGAAATTGTTTTTCGATTACAATGAATTTCATTTCCTTCTATACATATATATTAGATATTATACTGGATATATATTACATATTATGCATGCATTTTCAAAACATGCGGTTTTAAAATTATATTTA